TTTCCTCCCCCTGTCTCTAACCAGCTCGCATGTATCCCAGGTTGCCAAACTATTGATGGTTCGGCATGTCTTCAACATCTGGTTCGCCTTAGCCAGGAGCATAAGCTCCCGTTAATTGCGATTAAGTTGGATGTAGCATCCGCATTTGACCATCTCTCGCATTCAGCGGTCGCTAAATTTTTGTCTCATTGCGGTCCTCACATTGAGTCTCATGTTCTTTTGCGTATCATTGTCTTATCCAGGGTGCTGATTGGTATTTCCGACGTTTCCTGGGAGCAAAGGCTTTTTAGGGGTATTGTTCAAGGTTCCTCCTACAGCGCCGAAATTTTCTCTCGCACCATTGACTTTTTCTTAGGCAGCTTGGTCGCTTCCTGGCATGAACATGAGCCTACTTGGATTCAATCCACAGACCCTGATGGTCTTCATCGTCACCTCTATAATTTACTTTTTGCTGACGATATCGTTCTTTTGGCTACCTCTTATGAACAAGCTACGCGAATGTTGGAACAGGTGGTTGAAACACTTTCTGCGATTGGGCTTTCTCTGGCTTTAGAAAAATGCAAGTTCATCGCTTCCCACGATCTTGGGGTTTCCCCTCTGGTAATCCGCAACGTGCAAGTCCCCCAAGTTTCCTCTTTCCTTTTCCTCGGAGTGTTAATTGGTTTTGGGGTCTCCTGTCAGGCTGTCCTTTCCACTCGTCTTGCTTTGACACAAAATTCCTTTTGGGGTTATTTTAGAATTCTTAAACGCCCAGGTGGGTGCCTAAGGACTCGCCTGAACCTCCTTAACACTTTTGTCACGTCCAAATGGAGGTGGCTCTCACCATGCATTCGCCCCACTACCAATATTCAGAACATGCTCCGCATAATGCATACCACCCTCCTCACATCTTTGTGTGGTCTTACAGCAGATCCATTTTTGTCCTCTTCCATCAATTGGATCGTCCGCAGGCGCGCGAGTAAGATGGCAGCACAAGCACTTCACCACAAAAGCTGGCATGGCATTCAAGCTTCCTGCTTTTTTGGTTATTGGGGTCACGCGTCTCGCATTTTCAAATACCGACTCTCACCAATTACTGTTGCAATGCACATTAGGAATACTGCTTGTCTTTCTGAATTTGGACATGTAATTCGTCGCTGCGTTGGCTTTTGGCCTAATTCGTACCGCTTTCTGCAACTTGCATATGAGGATTTTCGCACGCCGCTTGACCCTCCTTTTTGGGAACAAAAAGCCCTTGACAAAAATGCTTGGTCAGAATTTACCTTCATGTGGCTGCATAACAAAAATCTTGATCCTACCGCATTTTACCCGCTTCTGTCCGAGGTCGACCTCCATGGTAGATGCCTGCTCCAAATTGGCGATCGTTTTAAGCTTCTTCCGTTCCGTCATGTCCCCGTTGAGCCCCCCTATGGGACTTCTTTCGAAATTATTCCAGAGGTGCAGGTTCAAGAGGACTCAGCCTGTTTTCAAATTTGCTCTGACGGGGGTTCGAAATCCAACGAAGGGTCTATTGCGGTTACAATTTTGGCACCGTATGCTTTGTTAGAGGATGCTGTCATTTTCCAACAAAAAATTCCGAGACCGTGCTCCAACAACAAAGCTGAGCTTCTCGCCGCTGTTGCTGCATTAAAGCATATTCAAACCATACTGCAGCACTACCCTTCAGCCCATTTCGTCTACTTACCTGATTCTATGCTCGTACTTCAAGCCTTAGAGGAATTTGCAAACATAACTTGCCACCCCCACACAGTACATGAGTTAGTTCATCTGTGGCGGAGACTATGTAGGCACGGTACAGCAGTACATGTTAAAGGGCACGCAGGGCACGCACAGAACACCCTAACTGATCGAGCAGCAACGGAAGCTCTGCAGTCGTCTCATTTCAGAAGAGTACACAGAACGGTGAATTATTCCAAGGTTTTCATGACCCTTGATTCCCAGTCCCAGCCGGACTTTCAAAACTGGCTATGAATAACTGCTTCTGACCCTTAACGGGGGGGGGCAGGGCTGACGAATAATTCCCTTCAAACCAGGATGGACCGCGATCCGTCTGAGTCTCGAGTGACACGAGCTGCCCAACTTGTGCCTGTAAGCCCTTCTGACGCGATGGAAGGTATGGCGGATTTCCGAACTTTCTGGTGGCTTGTGTATGAGCCGAACTGGAAAGCTTTTGTAGGCCTCACTCTTGTGATGGTGCTCACCGTGATCTACTTTGGGATGATTCTGCGCGGAGTGGCTAAACAGATGCGACTCCTTGGGCCCATGATTGACGACCTTCGTGAGCTCAAGATTGTGGAAGCTCAGTTGCAACAGCAGGTGACCACCAGCCTGCCCTTGACGACAGTGCCTCAAATGCAAGATGACTTACCACAACGCATTGACGATCTGAATTTAACCATCCAGAAGATCAATGCGACAACCGAGCAAATGTACGCTGAACTGACGAAGGCTGCTTACATGGATCAGCTCTCTGATCTCAGGCAAGCGCTGCAGGACACCCGTGCCTTGCTCGACAAGCTTGGTGATCCCATTGAAGAGTCCAAAAACCGTATCATTGAGTTGCATGACTCTTACAAGAAAAGCCACCTAGCTGAGACGATGAAGATGCTGGCCTCGAAAGCTGAAACTGATGAGGTTGAAAAGCTTTCAAAGCTGGTTAAGGCGGAGCTCCTCAAGATGATGCAGCAGTTTGCAGCAGCAGAGACGGTGCAGGACAGCATTTTGAAGCAGGGTAGAGACATGCTTCTGTGTCTACAGGGTGAGCTGAAGACCATGAGCGACAAAATCGTGGCGATCGACACAGGCATGGAACGCAGTCTGAACTTGCACAAGACGCTTTCCAATGAGCTCCATGTTGCCAAAACTGTACTTGAACAAAAGTTGGACAAAGCCAACAAGGCATTGGTCGATCATCAGGGACCAGTCTTCATTCAGGCCTCTTTTCCCGCTGGTTCCGACCTTGAAGTACATTGGCGACGGCACGAAAGACGGTCTCGACTATCATGTCTGCCATAACCAACAGCTTCAGCGGCTTGAGCAAGTGTGTGGAGAGTTGCATACCGGACTGAGCCAGGTCACAGACATGATCGAAAGCTTGGAAACTCGGATGGGACGTGTTGAGAGCACGTCCATGGGAGCCCTTGATGCAGTGAACGAGCAGGCTGATGTCGTGCAGAACATACAACGCGACACACCACAGCTACTTCATCAAGTTTTGGAAAGACTTCCGAAACTACCTCTACGAAAACCACCAACGTCGGAGCCAAGCCAGCAAGCAGCTCAGTCTTCCCAGGATCTTCCTCAGCCGGTCTCGCAGGCGCCTCCTTCGGTGAGTGTCCCAGTACAGCAACAGCCAGCACCTACCATTGAGTTACGCCTTGCTGGAGAACACATGCCAGTGCCAGTGCAGTCTGGCCCCAGGCAGGGGACAGGTCCGATCTACATGGTGCAGCAACCAAGTCAATCGCCTGTCCAGCCGACGCGACTCGTACAGGTAACCCAAGATGAGTTGCTGAAAGCCTTTTTTGCCCCGCAGCACTGAGCTGTGGCATGAATCCCAGGAGCTCCACACCTTTGGCTGAGTAGTCCTTTCAACTTGTGCCTTACAGCTCAATGATTTCAGGGCTCTCCAGTGGATTCGTGGATTCGTACTCAAGCGGCATTTTGACACCTAAATTCGTAATCGTTTGCAAGCGCGCCAAATCGCGGTCTCTGACTGTGTTTAGGGTCCGAATTGGTACAGACTCTGCTTCTGCCGTCGCATGTAATTCTTGCTGTTTAATTCATAATCCCAGTCTGCATGTTGAGGTGTCCGCTGCCGCTGTCACGAAATGCCAACAGAACTCTCACGGAAATACCGTGGCACACCGACCTAGGGCTGGCCCTTGGAAAACTGTGAGTGGCAGCTGCGCTTCGCGCTCCTCCGTTTTTCGAGATTCTGTCAGCTTGTTAAAGTTTTGATTGCAACTGCAGTTGCACCATCTACTCAACACATCTGATCATAGTTGCCATTGTTGCAGTTCAGTGCTCAAGAATGGTGTGGTTGGCCTTTTGATTCTTGCTCCGAGTCCACTCCCCATGCCGGTCGAACCACCATCAGGGCGCAAACGAGCAAGAACTGACGACATAGAACAACACGATCAGGAAATCTGTATCATTGAAAGCGACACTGACGAAAATGACCCACAAGAGTCTTTAGGTCTTGACCTGAACAGCAGACGTAGACTCGCCAGAATGCTTGGGGTAGATTTTGCATGTACTCCTGTTGAAACCCTGGCGTATACTATGATCTGTAGGCACGACCGCGGGCATGCTATCAACAAAAGTGATTTGCTTGAACTGTGGCATGCACTGCCCAAGAAGTACCGCCTCCGAGACCCCCAGATTATAGGCGCCAGCATGTTTATTGTAGGCGCAAATCCCCGTCAACACACAGCGGTTACTAGCGCCACGGAACGACTACCACATTGTACCAAAGTCTTGACCAAGTATGTTCAACACATTGCACCCGGCTTTGAGTTTACATGTGTCAATCTTCGGGCGAACTGTCTCAGAGGTCCACACAGGGACACACGTAATATTGGACACAGCCTGGTGATAAGGTTGACACAGCATGAGAGAGGAGGGAACTTGTGGATTGCGGCTAAAGACGGTCAATACTCCATGGATCACCAGGGGCAGACAGTTCGGGGGCGCGTCCAGGATATCGAACAGCCGTACATTTTCATGGCACGAAGTCAGTTGCACGCAACTGAACCGTGGCCTAGCTCTGAACTTCGGCTTGTTTTGGTTGCGTTCACCCCCCTACGAACTTTGGACATCCTCCCGCACTTGCACAGAGAATTTGGATTCCCCTCACGATCGGATACACACAGTCGGCCGATTGCATATCAACAAAACCAAGTCACTGACTACTTCCCGCGCAGACCTGAGCATGTTGAGTAGAGGACGAGAGGCTTAATTGATGCACTCAGCATCGGCAGTACTTGCAGTCGTAATTCGTAATACTGCGTCCTGACCTGCACTCCTAAATCCCACTTACCCTAAATTAAACTCGCACCCTTGCACCCTAATTTACTGTGCCTCGGCGACTTGGCTGCACTCAGGCGCCTCGAATGCAACATAAAGAGACTTGTGCCTTAAAGCAACTTGGCATAATTCATGCGACTTGGCTCAAAAGCACCTTGGCAGCAACATAAAGCGACTTGCCTCTTGTCTTTTGGTGCAACTGGGCATATCTTCATGCGCCGTGCTCGCACTTTAAGCAGTAGCCACACGGTACATACACCAACGACGGTCCTCCCCACTGAACCTCCCCCTGTTGACATTCACTTAACCTAACCGATGGTTGTGTCCTCTAACCTCCTGCCACTTCCGCTCCACCGCAACTTCTCCCTCCACCTCCAACTGCTGATGCCACCTGCACCCCGGCCGCCACATGCTTGTAACTACGGGGGTCCTCAGGGACATGTCTCGAATGGGGTCATTCGTTCAGGGTCTTTTCTTCCCTTTTCGGCGAAATGTTTCACGGCGTTGCTCGGCCATGGAAACCTCCCTGAGAGTGCTGAGTGAGCTGACTATGGTCTTTCTTCTGCAAATAAGCAAAGCCATGACATGTGGTCATTGTCATGCTCTGCCTTACAGAAGCATGAGCCAGTGGTTTTGCTTTGGCTCTGTGATTGGAGGAGTGTATTCTCTGATGGTCGCTGGCCTTGGATAGACTACGGCTGTCGACACAAGCCCTCAAACTGAAGGGAGCTGGCTGCTTCTGGCTCTTGGCTCTTGGCCATACTGCAGACTGGAGTGGGATGTGCCGCTATTGTTATACACTTGGACGGTCTGAAGATGGATACTGCAGAAAAATCGAAAAAACAAACAAAAAGCAGGTCTTCTGGCCCTTCAGTGCGCAAGCTCTTGAGCTGTGGATAGCATTCCCTTCTGGTCTACTTTGTAGGCTTACCGTGGTCGTTAGCCTGTGAAAACTCGCATGGAGGACACCAACCCTCCTACCGAGCAGTCAGTTACTTTTGGCGAGCCTGGTTCGTGACAAAGCAGTCCATTCTGGACTGCTGAGCAAAATCGTGGGACTCAGTGAAACTTTTCTCACAGTGGGTAAGCCGCTGTGGGTGAACTCCAAGATGGGTTTGCGAAGCGTATGGGAAGGTCGGAACGCTGAGCCTCACAGAAGCTGTGAATCTGCGGACTGGATAGTGCGTATCCTTTATGTGACCAGTATGCGTGCGAGCATGCTGCTGCAGTGGGATATGTCCTATCTGTGCCACATATGTGCCCATGCTATCCTCGGCTTTTGAGCTAGAGTGAGCACTTGCTGCATGCCATTTGTAAAGAACACTGCAAACATCGTTCGACATGTAAACTTCTGATCGTCCTTCCTTTGAAAAAGTTTCGATCCATGAAAACTGTATGGATTGACTCACGTGTGCCCGTTTAAGACGTGAAGCACACTTGAATTGGGAACCTTGAGGGTTCCTGGTGCAGGGTCTATCACCTCCCAGTATCCTCGCGTGTGGACATAGCTTCCAGCCATGCGAGAGGGAAAAAAAAGCGGCACACAGTGGCCTCCTTGGCCCAAGAGCAGGCGAACTTACAGGAGTTGGTCCGGGGGCTGGCCGCGCAGCTCTCCTCCTTGGTTTCGGCAGCAGCGGGCGGCAACTCCCTGGCTCAGGGCCCCGCTGTTGCGCCGCCGCCAGGTCTTGTAGCAGGTCAGGTCCCAGGCCCTTCCGCACAGGTGCAGGTCTCCTTTGCCTTCCGTACTCCCTCCTTCGCAGCATGTCCCCAAGGCTCTGTCTCAGGTCATAGGCCCTCCTCCTCCTGCCCGGCAGGCTCCCAAGAACCCTTCGCCTTTGGTCGATCACGAGGCAACCCTGGCCGCTACCATTGGTGGAGGCGACGCCAGCCCCAGACTCCCACGGCCCTCGCTTCTGCAGTGCTGGCCCAATCCCAGGCCCTGGTCAGCTTCGTTTCCCAGCTCGCCCAGAACTCTTCGGACCCTTTGCTGGATGCCCCTACGGCCACTTCGGTCAGGGGGCTTTCTCGAGGAAGATCCGTCAGAACGCTTGCCTCCGGATGGATCCTTCTGGTATGGTGGCTCCCGACTCACCCACCATGATCAGGTACCTGGAAAGGTACGGTGCCTTTTTAGAAGCAGCGGAACCTGGCCCTGCTCGCTTGGATGACGGCGACGGCTGGCGACCAGCTTGCCCGTGGAGCCCCGGAGTCGGCGGCGGATACGCTGGCCCTGCTGCAAATGGTCCTCGACCAGGCAAACCTCGACGGAGGAGACTTCACCTTTGCTTGGGTGCTGGGTCTTCAGCCCGACTTGCCGGCCAGTGTTTATCAAGACGTGTCTGGGTCGGCCGGCCTGGCTGCCAGAGCTTTCTCGCCGCTGGCGGAATGTGGGTGACGATAAATCTCTCCTACTTGAAAGAAGTGGAGGCCATTACGGCCCGGAGGGCCGAGCTGCAGCCGCCGCGCAAGCAGCCGCAGCCACCGCATGTCCCGCCAGAGACCCCGAAGGCTCCCCCCAAGACCGACCAAGAAACCTTGACCAAGAAGCAGGCGCGTGCGGCAGCCTGGGCCACAAAGCGCGCGGCCGCATGCCGACCACCCGGTGGATGACTCGCCTTTCCTGCCGGGCCGCGAATTCAACTTTTGCCTTTGGTCCTTTTTTTCTGGTGAAACTGGTCCTGAAAAGTGGGACCGCCTTTGGCCATTTTCTAAGTACCACACTGCCCCTGTGCCGCGATCCCGATTTGGAGGTCGCTACCGCCTTGTTCCCGCTTCCTCTGCCGGCCGACGGCCTTTTTTTGAAGCGGTCCCGCAAGCGCTCGCAGAAGCGCAGGCTGCCCAACCTCATTCGGGTTGCCCACCGCGTGCTGGTGATGTCTTTGAATTTTCTCCACTCCGGGGGGAAGCACATACCACCGGCCTGCTTGCGGAGGCCTCCCTCAGAGCTGCAAGCCTCGGCTTTGCACCGCCTGATGGAGCTTGTGAAGGCGTGTGCCCGCATGGGAGGTTCCACTCTCCGTCGGGCCGTCGAGGCATCCAGCTTGCTGCTCGTCACGCTGAAGTGCTTCACTTCTTGAGGGCTTCGGGCCTGGATGAAAACTGCTACTTTGGGAAGGCAGGCCGTGGTGCCACCGTGCCTGAGTTTGGGGCCCCTCTGCCCCACCTTCCTGGTGGCCCTGAGGAGCTGGCACCCTACCGGGACTTGGATTCAGACCGCCTTGCGCTGTCGGGCACTGGCTCCTGGCCGCTCGGAAGGCACCTGAACCCCGACCTCCTTATGCTATACTTGGAGCCTCGGGCCCTCCTCCTTTGTCCCCTCGCCGGCGCCTGGTCCTAGTTTCGAACATGAGTCTAGGAGCCAGACCCTTGGGCTTTGTAGGAAGTGGGATGCTTTGGGGCTTTTAGGCGTAGTGCAGGGCCCCTTGCATACCACCGACCTGGTGCCTACAAAGACCCGGGGAGGGACAGACAGATCGGCGACCGCCGAAATGTGAATAACAAGGAAGCCCGGATTGTGGGAGGTCCGTCCTCCCGGCTCCCGGCCGGCAGCCTTCTCACTCGGCTCTCGTGCCCTCTTCCTTCGTGCTCGCTCTTCGGGTCCTGCGTCGACCGCAAGGATTTCTACCACCAGGCAAAGGTCAGTGAAAGCAGAGGCTGCTCGAATGCCATAGGGCCGGTCTTCTCCCTGCAGCAGTTTTACGGAACTCAGGCATACGCTGCCTTCTTGGCCAAGGCCGATGATGCCCTCTTGTCGCATGCTGGTGCATGCTCCCTTTTCCGGCCGGCTTCCGTCCTTGCATCTGCCGACCTTCCGGTGCACGGCACCTTCTTGAACTTGCTGCAAGGCGACCACGCCGGCGTGGAATTCGCTTGTGCAGGACATGAGGGTCTTCTTCGTTCCTGTGGCGTCCTGGGGGACCCTGCCCAAGGGAGGCTTCTGAACCGTTGCCCGGTCGCGTGTCGCGGCCCCTGGACAGGTCTCATCATAGATGACCTCTTTTGCATCTCCTGTGAAAGGAGCCCTGGCCCTGAGAGCCCTGCTGCCGCCCATGCCTTTGAGAGCGAACGCCTGTTAAGGACTGCAAAAAAGGCCTACGAGCTTGAAGGAGTGCCCGGCTCCGACCACAAGGATCAGTTCAGCCAAAGGGTTTTCGTCGTGGCAGGCGCCCAGGTTGACAGCTCTCCCGCGACAAACGCTGCCGGGATGACTTTGGTGGGCCTGCCGGCTGCCCGCCGCCTTGCCCTCTCTCAAGCTTCGCTTGTTATAGCCTCTGGCCGCTGGATTTCGGAGGAGCTTGCCTCGATCCTTGCTGGTTCTTGGGTCACTGCCCTCCTTTACCGTAGGGCACTGATGGCGGCTATCGGGCCCTTGTTTGCTCTCGGCAAGAAGGAGGCCTGCCCTGATGCTTCCCGGCTCCGGCCCCTCACTTCAGCAGGTGCTGCTTGCGGCCCTCGTGCCGGCTATGGCCTCGAATGTGTCTGCTGAGTTCTCGGCCGAGGTCTCTTGCTCGGATGCTTCTTCTTCTCGTGTGGCCGTGTGTGCCACTGCCATCCGCCCTTCCGTTGCGGCGCACCTTTGGCAGACAGCTGACCAGAGAGGCTGGTACACCCGCCTCGGGGTGGAGGCTCAGAAGAGCCCCCTCTGCTTGAGAACGGTCAGGGCGTGGAAAGGCCGGTCGCCTGCAGGTATGACTTCATCGAGGTCAGGTGTGGTGGGCCCTGGCTCACTGGTTTCCTGGGTGCTAGCTGCTAGCTGCTCCGTGGGGCCCGTGGTGGATTTCCGGGCCTCCCCTCACTTTTCCCTTCGCGAGCCTCGCTGCCTGGAGTGGATCCTTTTCATGCTGTAAGACGACAGGCTGAGGTCGGTTCTGTTGGTGCCACCGGTCGGCTCCTTCTCCCCGGCTTTCTTGCCACGTGTCCGCGCCTGGGATCCGCCTCGTGTCAGGGTCCCTTCAGGACGCACTCGACTTGAGGATGCCCTTCTGCGTGCGGCTCTCTGTGTGCTTCTCGTCGCTACCAGGTGCAATGCTATCGCCATCGTCCTCCACCCTTTGCACAGCTTCGCTCGTGGCACCCCTGTGAGTGGAGGAACCTTTGCACGCACCGGGGAGCCTTCGAGACTACCTTACTTGGCTGTGATGCTTTTTCCACAGCCCCTCAGCCTGCTGTTGCTTTGGTTTCAGCAGCTGGGCGTCCTGAACTCGCTCGTGCCCTGCCTTCCCTTCCAGTTCTGCGGGGCACCTCCTGTGCCGGTCCCTTGGCGGATGCCTTGCGGGCCACCTTGTGCTGCCGGCCCACTGAAGTCGAGCCCAGACCTGGTCTCGAGAGCCTTCTTTTCAATGACGTTATGCTAACGTCCGCCTGGCATGTCACCCGCTCTTGGGCTTGGCGGGACAGACCGCATATCAATGTGCTTGAGGCCCGCTCCTTTCTGTGTGCTCTCCGTGACAGATTCTTATGTTTCCTTGGGCGCCTTGATCAAGCAATCCGCTGCGATTCAGGCTGCCTATGGCCTCTATCCAGGCCTGCACTTCTGCCCCACCAGGTTGAACACCTCCGATGACCCAACTAGGAGCGTCACCCTCCGCTCTTGTTGCCCGGCCTCCCTCTCCTCAGGCCTGTCCGACTCCTCCCTGTATGAGCTCAGCTGCCTTCTTGGACTTTCCAGACCTTCAGCTGGCTGGCTTCGCCTTGCCCTCCTCTACTCACGCCTTCGTGCCGGGGGTTGCTGCGGTTCCCTAATTAGGTCCCTCACCTTTAAGCACAGGCGCGTGCTTCCGGCTTCTGGCCTTGACGAGCCGAGCTGTCTTGAGCCCGAGCTGCTGCGAGACTTTGACAGTACGCTTGGCTACCCTGGAGAAGGGCCGGCGGCCCCACCTGGCGCTGCTGCTGGAAGGCTTCTGCTTGGTCCCCGCGATAGGAGGGATGTTGTCCGTGCCAAGGCAAGGCTCGGCACACAACTGGGAGAGGGCCGGCCGGTCCTCGATCGGACCACGAGGAATCGGCAGCAACTGCTGCAAGCTTTTGGTGCCTGGCTGGCCGAGTTTGAGCTCACTTTGGACGGGATACTGTCAGCAAAACCCCTTGACCCGGAGGTCGTGTCGTCGTGGTTGGTGAGCTATGAGAGGCAGCTTTTTGAGGCCGGCAGGCCTTACTGGCACTACTCCGAGACGATCAACGGCGTTGCCTCTCTTCGGCCGACTCTGCGGCGTACTTTGCAAGGGGCCTGGGACCTTGCCTTCAGCTGGATGGCAAAGGAGCCGAGCACGCACCACGTTGCGATGCCCCTTGTGATCTTGCTGGCCATGTTGTCGGTCTGCCTTTTCTGGGGTTGGCTTCGCGAAGCAGGTATATTTGGCCTCAGCTGGGGAAGCCTGCTACGGATTGGCGAGGCTACCTTGGCTAGGAGAAGCGATCTTATCCTGCCGTCCGACGTGTTGTATCTTCAGGCTTTTGCCCTTATTCGGATCGAGGAGCCAAAGACCCGAATGAGAATGGCAACGCACCAGAGCGCAAAGCTTGAGCAAAGCGACCTGCACCTGGCTTTTGCTGATCTGCAGCCTTCGTGCCGTTTGTGGCCCCAGTCCTCGCAGACTTTGCGACGTCGTTTCGACCTCGTTTTGGAAAGGATTGGCCTACCAACTGCCCGCGGCATGCGTCGGCCTTTGGACCTCGGCTCTTTCAGGCCAGGTGGCGCAACCTTCCTCATGGGCCAAACAGAAGACAGCGAGCTGGTGCGACGAAGAGGCAGGTGGGCATCACAGCGAGTGATGGAAATTTACATACAGGAGGTCCAGGCCGCCGTGTACTTTCCTGCGCTTCCTTTGGAGCTTCGCGAAAAAATCTTGTGCCTCGCACATGCTTTTACGGCGCTTCTGGAACAGGCGCGCAACTGGAAACGTGTCGGCGTCCCGCCTACTTCCTGGTATGCATTGTTTTCTGCCGGCGAGCGGCCCTTCACTGGCCTATAATGTGTGGGAGATATGGGAACATTCTTCTTGGATGGCTGTTGAGCCAGATGGTAAATTCCTGGCGGCCCTGCTTTAGCACGGCTTACTTTCCGGCCGAGATCCAGTGGAATACTTCCAAGCACGGGGCAAAAACGAGGGGTCTGGTAATTGCAGTTGCTTAATAGCAAGATGCAGGACAGTAGCAAATGCTGGCGTGCAGCGTATTTCGAAGCAAAAGAGGACCGCCAACAGGACCGCCAACGTTAGCAAGGGACACCGGGCACCGCCAACCTTAGGAAAAAAAATTGCTCCGCCTTTGTAAAGACCCCATGGCAAGCATAGGTAAACAGCAGGTTTCGGCATGCCTGCAAGTGATCCGCCTATGGCCGCAAAATGCGTCGGCCACCTGTGAAAGGACTTGGGAGGCCACGTGGGACCGCCTCACGCGTGTTGCACATCCCTGGATGGTTGTGGCAGGTCCCATTGCTGCAACGCAAGCTGTGCTCATGCAGTTGGGATGGAAGGCTGAAGCTTTGCACTCTTGGTCGTGGCGAGAGCACTCTTTCACACATGTGTGGCAGGATGCAGTGGAAGAAGCACGATTCCAAGATACCTTTGAGATCTCTGTTCAGCAGGCTCGTTTGGCGCGCATTGCCCAACAACCGCACTGCAGTGCTGCTGAAGCAGGTTTAGATTTTACTGTGCATCACCAGCTTCTGAAAGTGCACAAGCGAGGCACTCTGCCTTACAATGCACTTCAAGCACTCTGGCAAGGTAACCTGAGTTACTCCCTCCACCAGCGGATTGAGTGTCCCCGTTGTGGACAGGATGCCACATTCATGCACGTTCTTTGGCAGTGCCCGTGGCATGCCCAGCATGGCAGGACCACTTCCAGTGACATGGAAGGGATGCTTCATGACCCGAACAAAGAAATGCTCACGATGCGAGGCCTGGTGCCAAAATCGTGGACTTCCCGTGAGGCGCCGAGCGAACCTGCTGTCCAGGGCCCGGGCCTTTGGCAAGCTCTCGAGGTCATACATGCCGATGGCTTTGTTTTTGCTACAGATGGCAGTGGAAGTCGCTGCAAGGACCCTCGCCTCAAGCGAGTTGCATGGGCGGTTAGAGCATACAAACTGTGTGATGGCCAGGTTACGCTTGTGGCCACGATGGAGGGTGGCGTTCCAGGTCGCCAAACCAGCTATCGTGCTGAGTTGTATGCCTTGTTACAGCTTTTGGAGAAAACATCAGGTCGTGTTGACAACACCGTGGATTGCAAGCCCCTTTGCAAGGTCTTTAGAGGACCGCGGCGCAAAACCATTGGTAATGCTGATTTGTGGCAGGCCATCTGACTTCATGATGACCGCGCACGTGTTATCAACACGTGGATGGAGTCTCATCTCAATGTGCAACAGTTTCAGGCTCGCTTTCCACAGCTCCAATAGTGGAGATCGCAAATAAATGCTGATGCTGACACTCAGTGCGGGACTCATGCTGAATCAATGAGAAATCTTTCACTCGAAGAGCGCAACTGCCAGGTTGATGCCGAAGTGAAGAGGGTGCTTACACAGCTTGAGCGCAGAGTCAGTGCCATTCTGAAAGACAAACCTGTGGGCAAGAAAACCACCGCTGACCCTGTAGTGACTTCTACCGATGGCCCTGCGAAAGCACCCAGGGTCAATTGCAGAGGAGGTTGGACTGATTCCAGGGATGACGGGTTTGGTAAGCTTGTAAGTGGGGAAGCTGTTTCGCCACACACCTGGAAGGCTCACAAAACTGGCCTCATTTGCAATGATTGTGGCCTCATCCTTGCAAGAAGCCGCATGAGGAAGATACTCAACCCTCTGGCTGAGCATCCCTGCCGCGATGCCCATGCGTTGAAAGCGCTGTATCCGCTTGTGCATAGCACTCATGAGATGATCCTGATGGGTTTCTGCTACAAGTGCAAAGTGTGTAGCGGCACACAACGCATTGGATCCAGTGACACGCCGAAGAATTTGAAGGAGTCTTGCCCTTTCCATGGCAGGACCAAGAGTGGCCCTAAAGTCAAAGGGCAGACTTATAAGCTCTTCTTCAAGACTCCTGTAGCTAGCGGTAGTGCCGACTGATGCAAAGCATCTGTGACTCGCCTTGGTGCTCGGTGGTTGCGGAAAGATTGGAGGGCATCTGGCTTCCCAGCACTTTGCACAGTTTGACGTTTGGTGGCGAATCCAATGTGGATGGCGTCCTGCAGAACTTGAGCTTGACGTTTGGCGGCGAGTTCAACCAGGGCTTGAAGAGCACCCAGCTGCCAAGCACATTGAAGAGTTTGACTTTTGGCCTTTTTTAACCAGAGCTTGGAGGGCATCCGATTACCCAGCATCCTGCAGAGTTTGAGGTTTGGTGACGAGTTCAACCAGAGTTTGGATGGCATCCAACTACCCAGCAGCCTGCAGCGCTTGACGTTTGGTGATGAGTTCAACCAGAGCTTGGAGGGCGGCAATATCAGTGTTCTCGTTTTGGGGGTTGGATCAATGGGGGTTGGATCCTAAGGCTTGTTAAAACACGAAATGCATCAAAGGTTATCAAAATTCATCAAAATACATCAAAATCCGGAATCACAGTGAATAAATCCATATAGGACTTCATTTCCCGCACTTTGGATACCGTAATCATCAAGCTGTGCTTAGATGCTGAGGCACCGTTGTTCTGTTTTTTTGTGGGCAAACGCAGTTTCCCATAGCAATTTGTTGATGTGATGGCGCCTGTAAGTTGCGCCTTGATGCACTCCCTAAGATGTTAGCCAAGGGTGTGCACAGAAGCCCCTTGCACAAGGATGACACGCACCGGCGTGGCTCAAGCATGTGGAAAATCCTGACCGAAGTGAGGCCTGTTTGGGCCGTTGGTAGGTTGGGGTTGGTCTTGAGGTTTGGAGGTGAGGCTTGGGGTGTCTCGGTTTGCGAGGTTCCCCTTAGGACCCTTTCCTTCCGAATCTTTCTGTGTGATTGTTCCTCTTTGAGGGGGTTGCAATCATAGATTTACTTCGGAGAAGACGTGTATTGCTCCCTGCCATGGCTTCTGCTGAGCACCCCAGTGGACCCGAACGTCAACAGGTTATGATTGCCCAATCTACGGATGCTACTTCGCATCAGGCTGAACAGCAACAAGCCAGGCTGGAAGGGGAAGTGAATGGCCCCGATTATGCGAGGCCTCAGCTGCCTAATGGAGTGGGGAGGTCTACGAGGGCGTCAAATTCACCGGCGGGGATAGAGTCTCTGCCTTATTCCCCAACCGTCCTCCATGGCAACAGGGAAGCAACGGCCTTTTTGACAGAGGCCTGGCCAGCCCAACCGCAGACCGATGGGTCAGGTTCGGCCGCGGCCCGCAATATGGGCGAAGTGCCGGCAGCGCTACGTTGGATGCACCGTCTGGGTGAGTTCTTCAAGCAGCATACTGCAATGGAGACGCTGACTACGATGACGAGGCAGCAGTTTGTGGCTCCTTCAGGCACTAGCTCAGGGTTTATGATGCAGCATCAAGTTCAACACTCGTCACCTACTACCCCGCACAACGAGTCTACGGGTGTTGGAGCTGAGCTGACTGCGGCAACCCTAGAGGCAAACCCGCCGTTGTTTGGAAGGCATGCGAGAAGGGCGATGGAAGCGTGGCCCTCTCAGGCTCCCCTCCTGCATGGGCCTCATCGGGCTGGACCGGCGACAGATGAGCAGTCGTCAGACTCGATTCCTCGTGAGTTGGTCGAGTCAGAGGTTCGTCGTCAGGTTCAGGAAGCTCTTCGTGTGCAACAGCAAGGCATGGAAGAGCTGAAGGAAGAGAACAGACGCTTGCGGCAGCAGGTTGTTCCGTCTACAGGTCTCCCAGATCGCACTCCTCAGCTGTTAAGTCCCGGTGTACTTGAAGGTGATCGGGCCTATTCCAGTGCGGCGCTACCTGGGGATGCTCGGGCTCCTCTTACAAGTCATGGTGTACTTGGAGGTGATCGGGCTTATTCTACTCAAGGTGTACCTAGGGATGCTCGGGCTCCTCTTGCAAGTCACGGAGTACTTGGAGGTGATCGGGCTTATTCCAACCAAGCAAGGTGTACCTGCGGATGCTCGGGCTCCTCTGGCAAGTCACGGAGTACTTGGAGGTGATCGGGCTTATTCCAGTCAAGGCGTACCTGATGATGCTCGGGCTCCTATTGCAAGTCCTGGTGTACTTGGAGGTGATCGGGCTTATGCGGCAGCTACGCAACATGGAGATGGTCGCACGATTAGTGCCTCTGTGCCTGATGATGGTCGGGCTCCTCTTACAAGTCGTGGAGTACTTGGAGGTGATCGGGTCCCCTTTAGCTTTGATGAGAAGCCGTATAGTGGTCCCGCAGTGTTTGAGCAGTACGTTCCAGGTGGTCCGCGTCCTGAGTTGCAAGGTGATTCCGGTGGAGTGCGTGTACTTCCAGGAACCGAAGGAGGTCCCCAGGGTCGTGGCGCGGAAGGTCGTCGCACATGGCTGGATCGAGCTTCAAGGAGTGCCAGTCCGGAGCTACGGGGCCGTGGAGCTTCGTCGAGCCCTGGTCGTCAAGGGCGCAATGGTCCAATGGCAGCCAATGTGAGGGGCCGATTCCTTCGCCGTGGAGTTGGTGATCTTCTCCAGGGACTAAGTGATGGTGATCTGTATGGAATGGGACCATCGGAGGAGGCTTACCGAGCTAAGCCACTTGAGGTCGAGGGCACTTTCGGTGACTATATTGGGGACTATCCACCTGGGTTAGGTGGTGCCGCTCAGGAACCCAAGAATGCCGAGGCCCCACCACATCCACTTCAACCTCCGCATGGAACTCAAGGTGGAACCGCCCAAGAAGAGGCTGCGGCTAAGCAGGGAACTCCAAGCCCTCTTGACGTGTTGATTACAGGCATGTCTCAGCTGCAGCAGGTTCTGTTGAAGCAGAGGGGCGGGGACACAATGGATTTGGAAGCAAAAGCCGTTGTGGAGCTGTCGAAGCTTCCAGAGTACACGCCAGAGTCTGGGGCAACGGATTTCCAGGACTA